TGTACATAGCTTACAGTAAAGTATATATAACTACAGGTAGAGTCTACATAGCTTACAGTACAAGTTATATAACTACAGGTAGAGTCTACATATCTTACAGTACAGTATATATAACTACAGGTAAAGTCTACATAGCTTACAGTACAGGATATATAACTACAGGTAGAGTCTACATAGCTTACAGAACAGGATATATAACTACAGATAGAGTGTACATAGCTTACAGTACAGGTAAAGTCTACATAGCTTGCAGTACAGTATATATAACTACAGGTAAAGTCTACATAGCTTACAGTACAGTATATATAACTACAGGTAAAGTCTACATAGCTTACAGTAAAGTATATATAACTGCAGGTAGAGTCTACATAGCTTACAGTACAAGTTATATAACTACAGGTAGAGTCTACATATCTTACAGTACAGTATATATAACTACAGGTAAAGTCTACATAGCTTGCAGTACAGGATATATAACTACAGGTAAAGTCTACTTAGCTTACAGTACAGATATATAACTACAGGTGAAGTGTACATAGCTTACAGGACAGGATATATAACTACAGGTAAAGTCTACGTAGCTTACAGTACAAGTTATATAACTACAGGTAGAGTCTACATATCTTACAGTACAGTATATATAACTACAGGTAAATTGTACATAGCTTACATTACAGATATATAACTACAGGTAAAGTCTGCATAGCTTACAGTACAGTATATATAACTACAGGTAAATTGTACACACCATATAATACAGGATACATAACTACAGGTTAAGGGTGTATACTATGAGGAAACTGTTCATGTTCCAGCTACTTCTAAATTTCCACTGGTGGAATTTAGCTTAAACTTGCCTGAAGTCATCCTAAGATAGTCTTAACCAATTATTGTTGTTATTTTTTGGGTCAGTAACATAACCTTATAAGGAAAAATCAAATTATAAGGACATATGTAAACAAGAAAGTACATGTATGTTGGACCATTTATATAATTATTGATCCTCTTGCCCCCTGTCAAATCCATGGCCACATCATGTTTTATTTTTGTACTTTGGCTAGAAACAATAATCAATTAATGGTGTGTAAGATTTTGTGATAGTTTGTTTTTGCTGCCTCAGTAACGTGTATTTGAAATGTTGAAATGCCTTTACAAAAAATGATTGAAGGGTTTGCACTGGTAATTAGGATTATTTGTTGTTCTGCAATGTCTCAGGGGATGTTACAATTGGCTAAAGGTCATCAGATAGATGATAATTCCGTCAGGCGAGTTCAGTTTTCTGTACCTTGTCAGGGGTTTTAATTCGAGACGCAGTATGAATAAGATTTCATAGATTTCTACGTTAATAATTAATTACTGCTTTCATTGTGCTATTTACCGAGCACTGGATAAAGTTGATTGATTGATGTTAAAATCAATGACTATAGATCGTTCATCATAATTAACACACAATGGTGTCACGATGATCCCTCGTCTTACTTGGGTAAATAATACTTGATGTGATACCAAATACGGGCCAAACATTGCCTACAACAATGATAAATGTATTTCAGGTAGAAGAGATTAGGTGCTATACTATTATATGTAGTATAGAATTTTCAATGGGTGCACCTTCTGACCAGTACTAGTTTGAACAGATATGAATGCCGAGTGAAGTTTACATAGACTGTCAATGCCTGGCCGTAGCTGTCAAGATTAATCAGATGTCTTATGCTTTGAATTATATTTCTTCTTAAAGGAATCAATTGTCATATATGCATCCCACCAATTGTCTAATCAACTGTTTCTTTCCTCTTTGGTGTATTGAGTATCTGTTTCCCCTTATCAGAATTGATCTACGAATAGGTGAAGCAGAAAAATCCTTTGGAATGATGCATGTTTGAAATGTATTTAAATAAGTTGTTTGCACAGATGACAGGGACCTATACTATTAGGGTAACATCTGTTTAACATAAAATCTATAATTCTATTCATATAAAGAAAATTAAGTTGCTTATAGTATATTTGAGGGAAAAAAATATATTATTGATTTTTATTGAAAAGAAAATTGATGTTATCTAAATAAAATCACAGTAAATGATATACTTTGATCATTTGACCATACATTCAGTTTTATTTATTTTCTTTCATTCCAAAAACCTTATATTCCAGTACTGTGTGTGTTGGTGAGATGTAGAACCTTCTAGTCTGACATACCAGACAGTCGTGTTATTGATGTAACCATATCATGTGTGGTACCAGAAACAGCCGTGTCATAAAACCCACATTACTCAAGTACTAAACTAACTTTTTCAGATTAAAAAAATTTAAATATGCTGGAAGTGCAGTTATAAAATTTAATGGATCTGTTTACATTATGGTTTAAATCTATATATGGATGTTTGTCTGGTTTCTCTTTCATTTCTGATCACTACTACATGTATCCCTGATCAAGTTGATCAAGTAGGGTAGTGGTGGACACTGATGTAATATTGGTGGTATGTACAGGTAGTGGTAGACACTGATGTAATATTGGTGGTATGTACAGGTAGTGGTGGACACTGATGTAATATTGGTGGTATGTACAGGTAGTGGTAGACACTGATGTAATATTGGTGGTATGTACAGGTAGTGGTGGACACTGATGTAATATTGGTGGTATGTACAGGTAGTGGTGGACACTGATGTAATATTGGTGGTATGTACAGGTAGTAATGAACACTGATGTAGTATTGGTGGTATGTACAGGTAGTGGTGGACACTGATGTAATATTGGTGGTATGTACAGGTAGTGGTGGACACTGATGTAATATTGGTGGTATGTACAGGTAGTGGTGGTCACTGATGTAATATTGGTGGTATGTACAGGTAGTGGTGGACACTGATGTAATATTGGTGGTATGTGTTTGTTGTCTTCAGATGTATATGGATCTAGTTTATTGTGTCAAAAACTGTACTCCATTATACAGAATTAAATGACTTTAATAGTTTTTACAGTTATTTCCATCAGGAATGTCACAGAAATCAAAAGTGTAATCCAAGTCTACCTATTCATTTTCAATGTACTGCAAAGTCATTTATTTTTATTAATGTTTAAAAAAAAAAAAAAAATACTTTTGAGAACACTTGAGTTTCATGAATAGCACAGTATGTCTTCTTATTCTAAGTAAGGCCAGGTGATTTCTGAACATTTCACTGCTTTAACAAATAAATACACTTATAACAGATAAGATTAAATATAGAGATCCTACTTTAAGAATTAACAAATAAACCCAGTTAATGTAACACATGAAATTAAATAGTGTCATCCTGTTATGTATTTCATCTTCCAAGTCCTGCCTTTGATGAGGATAAACAGGCAAGGAACACAAATGTGTATCATGATGTACTTTAGGGGTCACAAAAGAAACTTTACATGTTTACTGTGATGACTCCAGACACCTTAAAGTATACAAGAACACTATTCTGAGATATCCTAAGATGTCATGAGTACAGAAAGAGTTACTGCTGAATACAGTTGGTAACAGTCACCTTTCCAGGAGAATGATATATATGTTACAGTATTTAAGGGTAGGTAATGTTTGTAAGAACATTTGTGCTTTTACTTATCTTTGCTTTTAAGGATCAAACTACATAATATCATTAGGACATGCATGATACTATATCAAAGCATGTAACTTTTACTGGGTCATTTGCATGACACAATTAACTACTAAATGATATAGTGTGGAGATTAATTATCCTGTATGTCATTAGTTTGATATAGCTATAATGATTCTCTACCAGTCTATACACTGATATATTGATGTAACCAGAAATACAGTTAGTGTGTGATCATCACTATAACATGACCCTGTTTAGTCTCCAATCATAGGCTTTCATTATGTTGAGTAATAGGGCCTTCTTGTGGAGTACACATGTAGTTCCGTGTTGTTCGGTTCAGGTAGTATTCTGGTAGGTCAAAAAAATCCAAATATAAATGAATCCATTTGTTTCAATTTAATATTGAAATGTCATTTTTATTTCAGAAAGTTAACAGGAATTTACATATTCATCAATGCATTCCTGTGTGGAATTCCAGCTTGTGCAATGTCAATTAGCATAGAGAGGAAAGACAGGTATACATATCTCTACAGGGTGTCACACAAGGGAGATAATCAGGACTCAATCCACATGAAATATATAGTAATTACTACATTCTAAATTGAAGCTCAACATTTCTAAAATATTGTATGTTGTTAAGCAAATAAAAAAAAAGATGAAATTTGGTATCTGAAATTTACTTGGTTACTGTATTGATAAATAGTATGTGGATTTGTCATTTTCAACATTGAACATGTGTCATGATTATCTCCCCTTCTGTACTTTTACTCTACTCCCTGCTGCTTTGTGTTTGTATCACTGTATTACACACTAGAATTGCCACTGATCCAAACCTGAGGTACATGTTTGTGTGCTGGACATTTCTTGGTTCTGATTATGTCTGGAAGGAAAGGGATGAGTTCTCCTATTTTATACTCCTCAATCTGAGACAAGCTGGGGTGGTTTTTCAGATGAGATCTTGGATAGGGTGTAAGATCTGACATGAAGCTGGGAAGGGATTGGGATTCGTCCTGGCTCCAGCAGACAACATGCTGTACTGTATCAGGCTTGATCAGGTGCAAGTCACATCTTACATGTCATTCATGCTCCAGGTTCCAAGAGAAGCCTTTCATCCCTCTGTAGTCCAAACAAAAACACATCTTGTCATGGTTCCCTAATCATGATACATAATACAAGTCTTTATCATGTAGATCAGGAAAGTACAAGCTTGGCATTTCTGCAGATTAGGATGAAGGGCTACTCTGGAAAATCTGTGATTGCTGAATATTAGTTGTTTGTCACATAGTAATCACAACAAAGAATTTCTTGATTGACAGAAAATAATTCTGTTGTGGGTATTATTGGCAAATGTTTAGGAAAACTAACCATATAGAATGGTAAGATAAAACTTGACATCCAATATTGTTTTTTGTTGACAGGAAAATCCTAGGCCGATTCTATTTACCTACCTTGTCATTTATTCCTGCTGCAACAGCTTCGTTTGTTGGAATCCTTGTTGAGAGGGCATCCAGGTATTGGCCCTTTATTGTAATGTAACAGTGAGGAAGATTTAAATCCACCAATCATTGATAGTTTATCATTGACCAATCATAAGAAAGGTTACATTGATGCCTTCACAATACTGGTGAGCTGTAGTATGGTATAAAGTGACAATCCATGCTTCAATCTTTCTGTTTGTCCTCCCTTTGGTTTTTACTTGTTTAATAAGAATTAGCTAGCATGTACAATCTTGAATTAAGGCTTAATTCAAAATCAAACAAAATCTACACACATTTAATCAAACAGTTACCATTTAAAATCTATGCATCATAAATTAGCATAACAAACTTATGAACTTCAATAGTTCCAATGGAGCAATTTCTTTAGAAATGTTGTGATGAAGCTTTATAAATAAAATGGCCACATTTTTATGTAAATACCAATTCAGTATGAATTTGTGTGGAATTTAATATTTAGAAATTTATATATAGCTGTAAAGTTTTGAAATGAATTTGAATTTGGGGTAAAAAAAGAAGTTGGGAAATCAGGAGAGAAATTGGAGACTGATATCAAGTATGTGCATTTGTTTATTTCATGTGTGTAAAATTACAAACAAACAACAAGAAAACCCCACAGAAATGGAATACTATAGTGCTAACACACATGACACAATGGATAGGAAAAAAAACAGGTGGACATTAGACAAATACTGTAAATAAAGAGACAACAAAAACTCCTGAAAACATGAAATATCACACATAAAATCAGGGGGTCTTCCCTGAACACCAACTCTGCCAATGACAACATATTTACATAGGAGGTCAGTTGTGATGACAGTGAGTTACAGTCTGGTGCAGAATTGTTTTACAGGTAACTGGTACAGGTAAATCATATCATCAAGTTCTGATAACTGTTCAGAAAATTGTTAATAATTGGAAAATAGATCAATCAAATATATTTCTTAAAACTGTTCCAATCCCAAGCTGTTTAATAGGAAATGTATAAAAGCCCGTACATTTTGGAGAATTATCATATTTCAATCTGCACTTTGAAGCATCAATTTCTCATTGCTTGATTGATTACTTAACTTTTGTCACACATGTAATAATTAATCTGGTACTTATTTCAGTTTAGTGTAAATTTTCATAGCTTTTGTCATATATGTCAGTTATTCTTGTACTCTTTTCAGCTAATGTAAAGTGTGCTTAATTTGAGTGATATTATTATCAGGAGTGCCAAACTATTAAGCATCTTTTATATACCTTTAGGTGAAGGACGAGAGGGGGTGGGTATTGTGATAATCATTGTGACATGCAACAAACGTGGGTATAAGCCTTTCTTTAATCAACATTTGGTGTTTAAGAAGTCAGTGTCAAAAGCAAGTAAAGGTTATTAAGAAAAAAAACATCTACAAACCCTGTTTTGTTCAAACAGAAACTGGATAATGGCAGATGTTTTTTCCTGATCCCTAAACAATTTAAGATTTTCTATGCAGTTAATTGATTTAAATATGCAATTTGTATAATGTTTACATTAATAGAGTTTTAGTTTTCCCCTTCCACCATATTTTAGATATACAGTAACTAGCATATCAAAAATGTAGTCTTTCTTCTAAAAATCTAACAGTATATAGTCTAGGACAAGGCCATATTGATATATTATTTTCACTTGTTAGTTTGTTTTGTTTTTTACCCTTTAGTCATTAACATGTTTTGTATGCTTACTAATGTTTGACAAAATCTTTTGTGATTTGTTAAGATTTCAGATGGTGGTCGGGGCTGTTCTGATCACCTTGTGTATGTGGTCTATGGTCAGTAGTCTGCTGTATGTCCTTCTGTCCATCCTTCTGTCCTTAAACAATTCTTGTTATCACTTTTTCTGGAGAAGTTCATGATGGATCTTTTTCAAATTTTATATGTAGGGACTCTTGGTTCCATAGTTGTCACCTCATTAGACTGATGTTAAAAACATGAGTGATAGAAAACCATCTTGGATTTTGACAGTAATGGTTCGCTGTTGCCTTTTTTGGAGAAGTACAAGATGAATCATTCTGAAACTTCATATATAGCTTTGTGTTTGTCCTTAGTACTTCATAGTCCATTTTGAGGTTGAACAGAAAACAAAATGCCAACAGGTGGCCATTTATGATTTTGATAGAGAAAGTTTGGTATCATTCTTTCTTGAGTAGTACTGGATGGATCTTTCTTTATTTACAGATATAGGGTTTTCTTTAGTTTTGCACTTTTGATTTCGAGACTGATATATTAAAAAAAAAATATGACTGAAGGACAGTCATCTTTAATTGCCTGGTGGTCCTTTCTCAGATTTTATGTAAGTTCCCTTAGGTCCCTAGTTGTAACTTTTTGATGTTAGGACTGATCAGAAGAACAAAATAGTTGACAGGTGGCCATCTTGGGATTTTTACGTTGAAAGTTTGTTATCACAATTTCAGAATTACTGGATGGATCTTTCTCATTTTATACAATCCTTTCTCTTGGTCCCTAGTTATGCCCATATAATTTTGAGACAGACATAATAACAAAATTCCTGACTAATGACCATATTGGATTTGGCAGTTAAATGTTACTTTCACTGTCTCTTAAGAGGAGTTTTCAAATTTCATAAAAACCAACAATTGAGGAGAGAAGAAAAAAGAAGGGATCAGATTCCTAAAGATCAAAAAATCATCTTCAGGTTGTGGCTTAGGGAATCATGGTCATCTGATTGCTATGACTTAGGGAATCATGATCATCTGATTGCTATGACTTAAAGAATCATGATCATCTGATTGCTATGACTTAAAGAATCATGATCATCTGATTGCTATGACTTAAAGAATCCTGATCATCTGATTGCTATGGCTGAGGGAATCATGGTCATCTGATTGCTATGGCTGAGGGAATCATGATCATCTAATTGCTATGACTGAGGGAATCATGATCATCTGATTGCTATGGCTGAGGGAATCATGATCATCTGATTGCTATGACTGAGGGAATCATGATCATCTGATTGCTATGACTGAGGGAATCATGGTCATCTGATTGCTGTGGCTTAGGGAATCATGATCATCTGATTGCTATGGCTGAGGGAATCATGATCATCTGATTGCTATGACTGAGGGAATCATGATCATCTGATTGCGATGACTTAGGGAATCATGGTCATCTGATTGCTATGACTGAGGGAATCATGATCATCTGATTGCGATGACTTAGGAATCATGATCATCTGATTGCGATGACTTAGGAAATCATGATCATCTGATTGCTATGACTTAGGGAATCATGATCATCTGATTGCTATGACTTAAAGAATCATGATCATCTGATTGCTATGACTTAGGGAATCATGATCATCTGATTGCTATGACTTAAAGAATCATGATCATCTGATTGCTATGACTGAGGGAATCATGATCATCTGATTGCTATGACTTAAAGAATCATGATCATCTGATTGCTATGACTTAAAGAATCATGATCATCTGATTGCTATGACTGAGGGAATCATGATCATCTGATTGCTATGACTTAGGGAATCATGATCATCTGATTGCTATGACTTAAAGAATCATGATCATCTGATTTCTATGACTTAGGGAATCATGATCATCTGATTGCTATGACTGAGGGAATCATGATCATCTGATTGCTATGACTTAAAGAATCATGATCATCTGATTGCTATGACTGAGGGAATCATGATCATCTGATTGCTATGGCTGAGGGAATCATGGTCATCTGATTGCTATGACTGAGGGAATCATGATCATCTGATTGCTATGACTGAGGGAATCATGATCATCTGATTGCTATGACTTAGGGAATCATGATCATCTGATTGCTATGACTTAAAGAATCATGATCATCTGATTGCTATGGCTGAGGGAATCATGATCATCTGATTGCTATGACTGAGGGAATCATGATCATCTGATTGCTATGACTTAAAGAATCATGATCATCTGATTGCTGTAGCTTAGGGAATCATGGTCATCTGATTGCTATGACTGAGGGAATCATGATCATCTGATTGCTATGACTGAGGGAATCATGATCATCTGATTGCTATGACTTAGGGAATCATGATCATCTGATTGCTATGACTTAGGGAATCATGATCATCTGATTGCTATGACTTAGGGAATCATGATCATCTGATTGCTATGACTTAGGGAATCATGGTCATCTGATTGCTATGACTGAGGGAATCATGATCATCTGATTGCTATGACTGAGGGAATCATGATCATCTGATTGCTATGGCTGAGGGAATCATGATCATCTGATTGCTATGGCTGAGGGAATCATGATCATCTGATTGCTGTGACTTAGGGAATCATGATCATCTGATTGCTATGACTTAGGGAATCATGATCATCTGATTGCTATGACTTAGGGAATCATGATCATCTGATTGCTATGACTGAGGGAATCATGATCATCTGATTGCTATGACTGAGGGAATCATGATCATCTGATTGCTATGACTGAGGGAATCATGATCATCTGATTGCTATGACTGAGGGAATCATGATCATCTGATTGCTATGACTGAGGGAATCATGATTCATGACTGAATCATGATCATCTGATTGCTATGACTGAGGGAATCATGATCATCTGATTGCTGTGGCTTAGGGAATCATGATCATCTGATTGCTATGACTGAGGGAATCATGATCATCTGATTGCTATGACTTAGGGAATCATGATCATCTGATTGCTATGACTTAGGGAATCATGATCATCTGATTGCGATGACTTAGGGAATCATGATCATGATCATCTGATTGCTGTGACTTAAAGAATCATGATCATCTGATCTATGATTGCTGATTGCTATGACTTAAAGAATCATGATCATCTGATTGCTATGACTGAGGGAATCATGATCATCTGATTGCTATGACTTAGGGAATCATGATCATCTGATTGCTATGACTTAGGGAATCATGATCATCTGATTGCTATGACTGAGGGAATCATGATCATCTGATTGCTATGACTTAGGGAATCATGATCATCTG